TGAACTGATAAATAGCTTCTTAAATCAACTCGAGAACTTATTTAAAGAATTTACCAATGTCAATATTATTCTAAAATTGTTCACATCAAAATATCACTATAACCCACCGAATAGCATTTTAATCCACGAATAAAGTCCAGTAATCATTTATATTCAAAGCAAAAATATCGTGAATTTTCCACATTTCTCTCAATAGATCTGATGTGAGGTAGTTGAACGCTTCAATGAATACCTTTTGAATGCCTTAATCATATTCGAAATCGGTAGCAAATGTGGCATATTATCAGTCAATACCACTGCTTGTTGTAGGTATCCACCTCTCGTGAATGCACGTAGTTTGGGCTTTCTTAAATTTCATTAGTGCACAATCAATACCGAAATTGATGTGCAATATTATCTGATCGATGTCAAAAATTGATCAGCTTATCATTATTACCAACTCCAAAAATTATCAGCTCCAATTCCACCTCAGATTGTTGTTACATTGATCAACAATGACGATCTCTTTTGAGGAATAAAATCTGCAATGTCTCTTTTGAGGAGTGCTAATAAACGCTTATATTCGAAATAAATATTCATGCCCAAGTCAGTTCCAACGGTTGATCAAGTTCGCTGATAGAATATCGTTACTGAGCAGAGCGCATACCTCAAATCTTCATTGTGCAGTCGTAAATCGGATAATTGCTGGCGTATATGCTTTTCCATGTTCACTAGTTGCACCTAAGCAGTTGCCAGGCATCAATTTTACTCAATTCATTTTAATTGCAATAGAAGATTACCAGTACGATCGCAGTACTTTAGTCTTTAGGGCAGCAAAGGGATTATGTTGTGATTGCAGATATGAGGATAATTTGATGATCAAAACGTGACCAATTCAGATTATTATGTGAATTATGCAGTTCACTATTCAAAAATCCTCAAAGATATGCGATCCAAAACAATCGCAGAGCAGAGCAAAATCACCTGAGTCTGTTTGATTTCGACGCACTCTTTCTGTTGCTTGCTCAGCTCTTCGTTTGTTTCCTGGC